AACACTAATTCAATAGTCCTGAGAAAGAAGCAGCAAGGACATAATGTAAAGTTATTTGAGAGGGGATAAAACACCACCTTCCTTCCAAAATAAAAACTCTTTCTTCCTCAAAGTACTTAAGAGCTTCTGGGAACAGGGGGAATACTTTGTTCCACCTCACAGGAACTGGAAAGTTCTAGACAGGGAGGAAAGAGAGAAAAAAAGCTTCTTCTGTCTTTGGCAGCTATATGCACACATGGAGTTTCTAGTTTAGACACCTATTAGAAATATAGAATGAAAACATTTGCATTAAGGAATATAATCAACAACTGTCACGTCTGTTTTCCCTAAGGGAAGAAATGTGTGGTGTGGAATATTTTGTATGGATTTTTTTAAGTAGTTCTGTGTTCACTAGACAAAGGCACAAAGAAAAATGCTTGCATTTAGAACAGAAAGTGACAAGAATTGCAATACACCTTAGCTTCCATGGAACTCAATTCAAGATTTTTTTTTTTTTTTGAGGCCCAACAAGGTCTCCTGCAAACTGTAGGAAGTTCCATCGTACTACTGGAAGAAAACTGTTGACCTGTCTTCAGCCTAGATTGACTATTTTCTTACATGGGCTGCCTCAGTCCAGATTTGACACCAGTGATGAAAGATTAAACACCTTAAACTGCTGTTGTGACCATATTTGCTTATGACAAACAGTTTGTCCATAAATGCCATCTATAAAGTCCTGACAAAACATGAAATAGAAATTCTGAAGTAGTTCTTACCGTAATAACAGCCTTGCTCAGACAGATGGAGCCCCTGCATCCATACTCTGTTTCATCCTCAGACTTGTAGTAGCTGAGCGTGTTGTTTTTCAAAACTACCCATCGGTCCTGCCATCCATGAATATAGTTGGTCCACTGTAGAGAAAATAACAAAAACCCCTCAAAACTAAGTTCTGAAAACAATGAAAAGACTGACAAAAGGCAAGAAATCTCACAAGCATTCACAAACCGGGAGAAGTAATCTTTCAAAGTTCTCTCCAAATAAGAGATTTGCATCAAATATGCCTTGACCACAGAAATAGCATCCTAGTAGGTTAAACTAGGAATTCTCTGTGTTAATGGAAAAAAGGAGTGGAAGATTAGAAACATGAGTTGGTACACAGTTATGCTTTGTTATTCATTTTAAGAGTGACAGTTTAGCAATATTAAATCAAAATTTGAAACGTGACTCAGCATTCTTAAGAGTCACTGCTATAAGAAAGGTAATGTTGTGTATATAGCCCTACAAAACTTATTGCCTATCCTAATTCTCAGCAATATTTTAATACAGGGCCTGGGGTGGATCCAGGAGAATGCACTGGTACATTTGCACCCAGCTTTGATTCCTGTTCCACCCAAAGTTTAAAACTCCTAAAGAAGAACCTAAAATGTGACATTCATTCCAACAGCAACTGCCTGGCAATTTCCAGTCAAGTAGTGCTGAGGATGTCACTTGATTTTGTGGCTCATAATCTACTTGATACTTCTAAACTCTTCATTCCACAGGTGTTAACAGCTCTCTCCTTTTTATGGTCTTGGTGTTCCACCAATCAAGCTAGCCTTTGTTCTGTAATTCTGCTGTCTGTTAGCCGCTCCTGGTCATGAAGCTCCTATTTCACAGCCAGGCAGCTTATTTAATGCATGCCAATGAAGCTACATTAGCTTTTGCCAAATCAAAGTGAATATTGCAGCCCTAGACCTCTAGTGGATTAGTAAAATTTCTGGTTTATTTTTAACTGGAGAAATGTGTTTTATTTGTGATGATGCACCGTCCCATTTGCACCCTCCTTTCAAAATTCTAGATATGTTCATGACAGGGCCTAGCAACCTTTTACAAGCTGCAGGCCAGAACAACTTGAGTCTAGTCCAATGAGAGCAAGGTGACTTTGGCAAGGCATCAGCAGCAGGGAGCTTTCCCTGCACTGGGGCCAGGCAGCTTGGAACTGCATCTGCACAGCTGCCACTTCCAGCCAGTGGGGAGATGCACTGGTGCTAGGCATCTTTAAACTGCATCTGTACTGCTCATGAGTGACTGGTGCCTCCTGAATCGGAGGGGGGGGGGGGGCACCCGCAGAAGCCACCAACAACAGT